TACTACTACTACTACTACTACTACTACTACTACTACTACTACTACTAACTACTACTGGCTACCACTACTACTACTACTACTACCACGACTACGACTACAACTACGACTACTACTGCTGCTACTACTACTACTACTACTAGGGCCCTGGAAGTTTCCCAGTGGAAATGATTTGAGTTGTATTATTAGTTGGGCACGGGTCTCCTGATGAAAGCATTCGCTTCGGACAGAACAGTAAGACTTGGCGCTGAAGGACTTGTACTATGGGCTGAAATACACAACGAGGGTGATGTCAACGTGGTTGTTTTGAAATGTCATGGTGGGGATCACTCGAAGTCAAGTAATTTACAAATCGGTTATCTTTGTAATAATTGTTTCTGTTTTGTTGTTCTTAAATGTGCTGACTGTATTTAGTGTGGGTTTATTAATCAGGGCGGGCACTTGGCTAACTGTATTTCGGGGCCCTTTATCAATCATAGGTCAAATTAGATTATTCAAGCCAAGCATTCTGAAAACATTGCTATCGTCTCGTCACAAACAATCAGCTGGTGTGAGGCTGGGCACTGTACCTGTAACCCTGACAGTCACATACTTCCTTTCAGATCCCAACACCCCCCAGTGTTCAGATTAGATTTGACAAGGAAAACATTTCAACCAGTTTGCAGTCTGCAGTTGTTATTTGCATCAACCATTTCCTTGTGCATCGACGTTGGACGAACTCCTTCATTTGCCCAGTGTTCCTTTGCGGCGAGATTCTTCATGTGAACAGCACCAAGTCTTCCTTGGCTCAAGGATGGTAGAATAGTATCTTACAAATTGTGCTGTTGAGTGGCACCAGGTGTCAGGCATCTCTTCAATTGGGCCATCTGCTGAACAATGCCTGAAACAATGATAAACAATGAACAACCGCGGCCACCAAGTTTCTTGGCAGAGGACCAACCAAAGTTCCAATTGTCGAATCCAGCAGCGCAGTCGTAAATGTGTTTCACCTGACGTGAACACAAAGTGTGGCCGGGTAAAGGACAATAGCAACCAAATTAATATTATTATTGTTGAAAAACACAATGCTACACTGCTGGATTCTTTTCTGTGTTTGCTGAAGACTCAAAGTCATGGCAGAACACAAAAATATATCAACATGCCACATCCTAATGATGTTCACAATCCACACCAACTAAACCGGGCAATTTTCCATGCCCCCAGAACCCGCAATGTAAAGCCTTTGGCCCCAACAAGCCTGGACATGTTTGGTCTTGTAGATGACCTTGTGGCGCACCACCTCAAGAAGAGTGCTGTATGGCACATGTGAACTCAAATCCAGTCCTTATTATGATTATGCGTGTTAAACTCTTGAGCTTGTCGAATTGGAAACGGAACAGGACGCAGCAGAAATAGTTGATAGTGTTCACCTGCATGTGTCGGAGGGGTCAAAGGATTTCATGAGCTTGACACGTGCTCCGAGGCCCTCGCGATCAGCATCATGCAGCTGGCTCACTCTGTGGTATGAGCAGGTCGGGAGGGCACTGAGACATAACCAAACACACAACGAATGAGTCGGATGTGGCAGTGAGGACGTACAGCGTGACTTCGGCAGGGAATTTCACCCTAAAACTGCAAGCCAGCTCGAGGTGCACGCTTCCATAAGAACCCCACCGACCCCAAAGAACAGCGCCGCCAATGAAAAGTTATGCATAGACCCCAATCAGCTTAGTCGGCAAGAATTGTTGTTGTGGTGGTGGGCGGCCGCAGCCCCAGCCCCTGCCTTGCAAAGCAACCGAAACAGCACGACAGCAGCAGGACAACAGAAAGACCATGAAAGACCAGAGGAGGCAACATAGGACCGAAGGATGAGGACAAGCTGTGACCGGACAACGCCAAAAGGACAACAGGACAACATGAGGGGAGCACCACAAGAGGAGAACAAGAGGAGAAGCGGAAGAAGAGGACAAGAGCCACAAGAGAAAGACAAGACGACGACGGGAGGAGTGAAGAAGGACAACAAGAAGGCAATAGAAGAACATGAGAAGGACAGGACCGAAAAAAAGGTGACAAGAGGAGAAAGGAGGACATCTGGACACGGCTCACCGGCGCGGCCTGACACTCTGGTCAGCTTCATATTCCTACCACAAAAAAAGAAGAGGACAACAGGAGGACAAGGACAGGACTCGGCTTCTAGGGTTGTTGTCTTACTAGTGCCTCACTGCCTCACTGCTTAATGTGCGATCCTGATTAGTAAATAGGGCCCCCCCCCCCCCCAAACAAACAGGTGGTCCTCCATAATAAACTATCACCAAAACAAATCTGGATTCCTGTGAGAATTCCTTTTTGTAATTGATTGTAGTATTAATTTTCCTTTCATAGATTGTATTCAGCTTCTTTTCTCAGGTGCTTTGTAATTGTTCTCAGCAATCCTGTTGCTTTGCAGCCTCAGATCTTCAGCTCAAGAGAAGCCCCAAGCTTTCAGCTTGTGCTAATTAGTTAGTAATTGTTGAAGAAACCTAGCTAATGAATCATAATCATTGGCCTCAGGAGCTAAGTAAAGGAAGATTCCACGCGCATTTCTTCCAGTGGGAAAAACTTTTCACAATTCAGGACCCAAAAACAAATTTATTGTTGAGGATCAGGTGCCTTCCTGGTCTACTACCTTGAACATTTGTTT